TGCTAATGCTAAGGCTAACGTTTGCTAACGCTTGGTAACGTGTTAGCATTTTGCTAACCCTAAAACTTACCCTAAGATTTATTAATCTTAATCTCTAACCTTTCAAAATAGATGAGCCCTTTAGCTTGGCTAAATCCCTCTTTTTACATCCCTTAGAATTCAGGGTATTTGTGAATGTGACTTTAGTAAAACAATACAGTAGAAAATTTTACCAGACGTATTTTGTATTTAGCAGGTGTCCATAGTTATATACTTTTATGTATTTTTATAAAATTCTTAAGATATTGTAACCTTGGGTTATTATTATTGGATATTTTTTTATGAGAAATATCCCTTTATACATATATTTTTTTTAATTTTCAATTTTCTTTTTCCCTCTAAGTTTGCTTGTAGAAGGTCTAGAATAGAAGTTATGTTAGTTTTATTACTCTTTTTGCTTGGGGTGACTGCTGCTTGGAAGAAATGATCTTTCAAACGAATAAACTGTAGTTTTAAAAGTTGGCACTTTTAGAGTTTTGGGTGTTTATCCTACTTTACACACCATGGTTTTAAAATATAAAACACAAGCATAGAAAGAGCTTCGGCTGAGTTAGATTGTTTCAGAAATCATTCTAAGTTATGTAAGAGTCACAGCTTACAGAAAAAATGTTTCTTTGTGTTTATTTTATTGCCTAAAATCCTGAAGACAGAGAAATCGGTAAAATGGCTCTATATTTTCATTATAAATTATTATTTTTGTTACTATTAATATTGACTGTGGGATTGTTTCGGTAATTAAACATTAGACCTGAAATTAAATCAAAGCCTTTGAGTCAGTTCTACTGCTCATGTAATTAGCACTGCTTAATTAAAGTGTCTGGTGTCCTTAAATGGATGTTTTCTGGCTCATAAAAGTAATGTGCACTACCTGTACTACTGATAAACCTTTGTTCATGTCTGTGTTTGTCATGTGAACCAGGTGGAGGCGAGTGGATGCTGATGGGGGACAAAAAGGAGACCTGGAAAGTTAAAACTCTTGACGAAATCTTACAGGAAAAAAAGCGCAGAAGAGAATTAGAAGAGAAAACCGATCTTAAGCGGCAGAAAAATGTAAAGTGTCTTCAAGAAAAAAACATGCATGCTGTGATGATGATCAAAACTAAACTGTGAATTCAAGTCATTATAGTGGGTTTCAGTAATTGATGTGTTGCTAAAATCTAATTTAACCTTGTTGTAGTGATTAGCTATGATCATTTAATGATTATTGTTTCAGATTTGATCCCTAATGGTGACCTTCTTGTTTTTCCCAGTTCTCCCACGGCGTTGTTCCACAGGCGAATGATCGGGAACCGAAACGAGACACTCCGGAGGAAGGAGAACTACGAGATCAAAGAATGGAAATAACAATTCGTAATTCCCCGTACGTACGGGAGGACTCAACAGAGGACAGGTAACTGAAATAATTATTTTTGTACTTTTGTTTATAGTGAAGGTTGTTATATCTAACAGCGTTTATGTTGCGTTTCTGGTAGAGGAGATGAAGATGAATCTTTAGCAATCAAGCCCCCACAGCAGGTAGCG